GGCTTGAGATAATTTAACCAGGGTCAAATTTTATAAATATATTCCCAGGGGAAAAAAAAACAAACAAGCAACTATATGAAGTGTATTTTACTTCATTTTTAACTTTTGGTATGTGCTGTAATGCTGTGGCATGCATTTCGCATCAAATAACCTGTATTTCACTTACGCAGCCCTGCAGAACTTTAGGTGGAATATCTACTACTCTGTAGATGACATACTAAAGGAGTGTGTTTCTACCAAGTGACAGGACGTCTCTCAGCAGTGGTACTTAGGGCTTTTGCCAAGCAATTACACACACTCCTGGCTCCAAACAGCCACTGCTGAGAGCTGGACAAAACCCGAGGTTTTTGTTTGGTTGTTCCCCATCACCACCTTTATAGAACCACAAAGTATCAGGAAGTTGATAGTTATTTTGGTCATAAATCATCTAACGAAAGTCCCTATATTATCAATAAGTACCAGAAAGAGGACGAAACAGGCAGGATGGAATTGCAACACAACGTACTAAAACGGCATTTTGCTTTAGTAGGCAGTGATTAACAATTAGTAGATGCAAGATTCATTCCAAGTGTTATTTCATTGTTAAGTTCCAGAACTGTAGAATTCCATTTCAGCCTCACTCATCATTCTTAAGATGTAAATAGCATTGGAAGTGTTGAATGGCAACATCTCACATCCACTCACATGACAAGATATCCAAAATCAGAGGTAATTCTGTAAAACTCAACCTTTACATACAAAAGCTGTAACAGAACAACATCATGCTTTCAAAGTCAGATATTGGGAATGGCTAACAAAATTTCTGTGTCGTGCTTGGACCAAATGCCGTGTACTTAATGACACTGCTAGTTGACATCTAAAAATCAAGTCATGGAACACAGTCTTTTGGTTTCTATAAAGAACCTCGTATGGAAGACAGTCCTTTCTACTGGCTAATCTGCTTAATCTGATTCAGTCACAGGAATCTGAACAATTACAAACAAATCTGAACACATGAACAGAGATAGCTAACATACACACAACCAGATTACAATAGCTTTACACATTTTTCAGTTTCTACCATTTCTAAACTCTTTCAGAGTTTGATTTCTCATGCAAAACTGTTTGGTTTAGCAGTTTGCATGTGAACTGATAGCCTCCCAGAAAACATCCCAGAAGTCCCATGTTCTGTAACCATATTCATTCCACCTGCAGAAAACATACCAAACTAAAGCCACCAGAAGCACGGAACAGCTCTGCCACACAGGCAAAATAAGTAATGACTACAGACCATACACAACATAAGCATAGTAGGAAAAAGGTAATATATTGTTAACAGCAGACATGACGATTGGTTGCACAGCAGAGAATTCAATTGTACTTTTAACTTGAGAGGATACTGTCTAATGACTACAGGCAGATTTGCAGATATGCATGCACAAATACACGCAAACTGAAAAGATGAACAGGCTTCCATATGCAACACAAGATCCTAATCCAAGCTCACAAAACCCTATTGTGCCTGCCTGTAGAGATGTACTGCAGACCACAAAACACAGAAGAACAGTATAGGCTGTTACTTCAATATTGCTATGCAATGCACAGAAGGAAAAATGCATTACATTACATGCTGTTTTATTTACAAAATGGAACCTAACTCTAGAACTTAAATAAATAAACATTAAATTACAGTTGTTAGAGAGTAGCAACCTAAAGGGTGCATTTTTCGCAGTTAATACAGAACTAGGCAAGAACACTTGACATCCACCACATGTATTTAATTACAGAATTTTCAAATGCTGTTTGTCTGCATTTTAATGAACTGCAATTTCTATTCAAATGCACAAGTTATCTTGTAAAAAGTGAGTCATTCACCACTTCCTGGCGTAGTAAAATAGAAATGAAACTCCTAAGTTGTATGTGTTGAAGTAAAATACGTACAAGTTTGTATAGCATCCTGCTTAGTAAAAGACTACTAAAGGCCACATATCCATTACAAAACACATTTCACCAGTTACACGAACAAGAGCGTACTTTTTAGTTTACTCCTTAAAGACTTAAAGATAAAATGAACATATAATTACTGATTTAAGTCATATTTGAAAAATGGGAACTGAAAGCTGCTGACCGAAAAAGAGGCGGCAGTATTAATATCAGTCTTTTGGTTATCCAGCATGAATCTGTTAATTATTTGTTTCAGAAAGTTATCATAAGCAATCACAGAAGTTAAAAAATGTTTATATAAAATTAGAAAATAATCCTTTGAGCAGGAGGTTGGACCAGACAACTTCTAAATGTCCCACCCAACCAATATCCTCTGATGTTATGAAAATCTGAACCAAGTTTATTCTGTAATTCATCTCCTACAAGTAAATAAAATAGCTTCTTAATTTTCTCAAGTAATTTCTATACACATGCACACATATGATGTATACTTCTGTTAAACACGTATATCTCTAAAAACACTCGCAAAAGGTGAAGACAAGTCAATTGTGGGAAATACTGAATACAAAGCAGCTTAGATTCTAAAGTTAAAAACATTTTCTCATTACTATTAGTCACAAGTAAGCCCAAAGAAGAAAGCCACAATTAAAGATGCAAGTTTTGTAACAGCAGTAATATAATCTATAAATCTGAAAAAATGCAAAACAAAAAACCAACAAACAATACACAAAAAAACCTCACTAGAAACAAAGGACAACATGAAGGAATTACTCAGATTGATCACGAACAGCTGAATTCAAAATAATTACTGGCTTGATGCTAGACATGACTGCGTAAGTATTTAAGTAATGCTAAAGAAAAGCAAGTGATATTTTCGTTCTGCTTTCAAAAAAGGCAGAATGACATTCATTTCTTACAATCATAAAGGAAATATTTCCTATTCTACTGGTAATAAGAAACATAAGATACAGCAAGTGCTATTAATCATATGTCATCATCAAATCTGGAGAACCCAAATCCAGACTGCTTCTTAAAGTCAGCATGAAACCCATGGGCAAGTAATACTTGGGTGCTCACCATTTATTAAAAATACTAACAACTTCAAAATTATCATTATCTAAACAAAGTTTAAAGGGGAAACTGAAGAGAATAGTCTGGCGAGAGTGACAGCAAGACTTCCCTGCTTAAGCTGCTACAGATTTGTATCTTTAAGATTGCTTTTAAATGCGTTAGCCTTAGTCTTCCCCATCATTTCACTCTTTAAAGAGCAATCAAGATATTTGGCAATATACAGCATCAGTCATGCATTGATTCTGTCAGGCTACTGACTACTGGTGAGCACATATAAGGTCTGACACGTTCTGCAAGGTAAGGTATATTAATCCTTCTTTGCATATAAGGAGAGAACCTTAACAGTTCTAAGCCGTAATAACACAAACCAAAGCAAAATTAAGTCTTGTGCTAAGAGCACAAGAAGCAAAACAGTAAATACATAAAGCAGACTTTTTATTAGTCAAATTACTCTTGGTAGACACAAAGAAGAGCTGCCATTTTAATAAGAATGTGCGTTAAGTGTTTAGCTTGCAGAGTTAGTACTAAAAGAGCAACCCAGACTCTGTCATTAATGCTACTGTAGAACTCTGTTACTAGGAATAACAAAGACAGATGTACTAACATAGGTAGATTTTTTTTTTTTTTTTTAAAAAAAGGGAAGGTATCTAAATAGGTCTGAACTGATTGTAAACCCATCAAATTTGATCGGTAATCAATACACAGCTGAACTTCAGTGTAGCACACTTTTTTTTCCCCCAGAAATTAATTGTACTGATTTTTAGAGTTTGTTCTTATGTCAGTGTCAGGGGGTGAGGCAGAGAGAACTATTGGTCATATCTCACTGTGAGCTAGAAGTCCCTGCTTTTAAGATGGCAGAGTCACTATACTTTGCTTAGGCAGTCTAAATAACAAGGACAGTAAGTTTGCCACGATTTCTTAAAGATATCTATGTTTTGATCTAAAATACAATTTTATGAAGTATTTATGTGCTCAGCTAATGAGATCCAGATTATCTGGTAGGTATTCCCCTCAAACAATCCCAAAAGTCAGACTGAGGTGATCAGAATCCCATACTGCTCTGAAAACATATTTTAAACCTACTTATCTTCCATGACACAAAAAGCCTTCCAGTTAAGGCAGTCAATACGGCTATACTGAGAAAATAGACTGAAACGTCATAAGAAGTGATAAACAAAAAAATATTAAGAGCTCCAAAAATTTTTTAGAAATGTCCTATTAATCTGTATTAATACCAGCTACTACAGGTAAGTTTAATACTCGCATTACACCATGCAAAAAATAGTTATAGAAGGAGGAAACTACATTCCTCTCTCCAGCACAGGAAGGTTATTGTGTTCTCATAACGAGGACAAAACACCCAAAAAAACCCTCAAAGTAAACAACGCTGTCTAGCCAACAATGGCAAGGCTAAGCAAAACCAAATCCCTAGGAGAATTCAGCTCAGTAACTAGACCACTGTAAGAATGCACAATTCAAGGCAGCAGTGTAAGGGTTTGGAGTTGGTTGGGTTTTTTTTGGTTTGTGGGTTGTTTTTTTTTTTTAATGCCACCCCAAGCCACGCCAGAGATTTCACCTATGAGGCAGCAGTAACTTCAATCACTTCCATGTTCCAAATTTCCTAAACTGCACAATCTTTCAAACAAAAATAGTCTCTCTTTTACTGTTAACTTTTAAAATAGTACACATAATTTGAAGTTTGAGTAATACAACGGAGTAGGTCTTATTTGATCACAAATAACAATTTTAAGATAAAAGCTCTCGTCAACAAAGACTGCCATTTACAAGCCTATAACACCTCTACCTATAGATTTCATAACATTCGTTTGAATTCAAGTCCCATTTCTGTAGATCTTCCAAGAGATTATGAAGGAAATGCTTTGTCAGTTTTACTAGGCAAGAACAAAGAAACAGAAAGACTCTTAAGTATAGTTATAACTTAAGTCATAGATACCAGACTCATTAACAAAATACAGCAAGGTACTTCTGGTAGGTCATTTACTTACCTCCACTTGCTGATTCTTGCTCTTCCCCTTCAGGAAATGTAGCCTGGCTTGGTAAGCTATTCCTAGAACGAGTGACCGACTCTAAGTGTGAAGCCCTTCCCAACAGAGATAGCTCATCTAGCACCTCTCCTTCTTTGGCTTCCAAATCAGATTTTGAAGTGGTTAACTGCTTTATGTTACCTGGTGTCATTAAACTATTTGGGTCATTTAAACAAGCTACAGTGCCACTGTCCAGGCTTAATACTCTGGCACGATTCTTGGCACTGTTTGTGCTCGAAGTCCGACGTGTAGATCGTTTTTTGCTAATTCCTTCAGAGCTTACATGGGTTTTGTGAGCATTTTCAGAGTCTGTGCCCCCACGTTCTTTAGAAACATATTTGGTCTTTAGAGCACTGTACTTTCCCTCAGGAGACTGGCATGAATGGGAGGTGGTGCTGGAAGAGCTATCACTGCTGAACTGGTGAGCTGACTGCATGCTTGATGTCCTGCTCAAGTCACTTTGATCACTGGAGTCCTCATCGTGACAAAACACAGCACTGTGAGGTTTAGTACCAGATACACCTCGGAAGGAAACATATTCCCTGTGCCGACTTGAATCAAAACTACTAGCCCGCTTTTTTCCTGTCCTTCTCCGGCTGGATTTGTGGGTAGAGGCTGTTCGATGTATTAAACTAGAAGATTTCGGTCGAACATCTCCTTCTTTTTGTTTTCCACCTGTTTCTCTAGAAGCTCTTGAATCTACTAACACAGCTAGTTTCTCACTCTGCTCATCTCTTTGTTCAGCAGCCTTCCCAGATGGCCTGTCAGCTTGCGTAGTCAATTCATTGGCATGCGGGTTCTTATTGGCCTCTTCTGAAGCAGAGGCACCAAGACCTTTCTGACTGTGCATCTCATCAGATGCATTAGAACCCTTTACCTCTTGAACACCGCTGTTAGTGCTCACTTCCACAGCAGTCCTTTCGCTACTAGTCCTTTTGTCAGTAGTAGAACTACTGTCATCCTCTGAGTCAACACCACAGTCCTTTTTCTTACCATCCTTTTTCTCTTCCCTAGGAGACTCCTCCTCGTGCTCTGACAACACACTTTCTATATGTGTTGAGCTAGTATGTTCACTTTTATAGCTACTGATGGTACTGTTAGTGTCACGATCTGTCCCACTGCAGTAGCTTTCTGTTGAACCACTGCTTCTAGTACTCAGGCTTCTCAGACTGTCCACACTTTTGTCTGCTTTCAAGGATTTGCTCTTCCCACTCTTAGCCAACGGTTGAGGGCTGCTACTTTTCAAAATGTCATCTAATTGAAAAACGCCTGAAATGCAAGAGTTCTCAGCCAAGGACTCTCTGGATCCAGAAGGGGGCTTGGAAGCTTCTAACTCACTGACAGGATCTAGTCCTCGTTTTTGCTGATAGAGAGGGAAGTCATTTAGTGAAGCATCTGGAAAAGCGACAGCAGAGCTAGAAGTCCTTGGTACACCTCGTGGTCTATGATCCTTCCTATAGGAGTGAGAATGCAGAGTCACAAGCGAAGCTACTTCTGTGTCACATGCACTGTTTTTAGACTGGTCCACAAGCTGGTTGTTCGAGAGGCACGCTTTGTCACTGTTGTCTCTTGGCAAATCCTGTCCAGAGGATAACGAAGGTTGGATGGAGACAAACGAGTCATTTGACACCAGACGAAAAAGCTTCCGATCTGTTACCAAATCTGTTTAAGTACATATTTAAAAATATTAATGTAGAATGTTCATGTAAGTTATATAATTTGCTTTACAACTTCTTGTTTGTATCAGATAAAAGTAAATAAACTGACAAATCCATTTGCAAGTACTATGCATCACATTACCATTCAAAAGATTTCCCTGCATCTGGGCAAACTTGACACTTCTTTTTTTAATAAAAAAGAAATCATCAATACCAGCTTAACCTTAGCAGCTAATAAAAGACAACACTATTCTGACAAGTTCCCAACCTCCTCTATTGCTCATGTGTCTCAGACAATGTTTTTATGTATCCCAAAATTTCTTAATTATAAAAGGGTATCCTGCCTTTTGTTTTATTTCCTACATGCAGTAAACTGTTTGTTTCACATAAACTTTAAAATTACTAAAGAAAACAGAGTAAACGCCCATTAACTTTGAAGTCATGAGAAACCCAACAGAAATCACCTTTCCTATCAGATACCAAGTAAGCTCTCAGTTAGCAAGGATGCAGGCACCAGCACAGGTCTATTGGTACTATAATGAAACTCCCTACAAAGTTATGAGTTTTACTACCTCTAAAACTGGTGCTGTTAAAGCACATAATGAGGATTCGCTCTTAGCTCTTGGTCAGAACAATTGTTTCTGTTATTCATCACAAGCAGTTTCCTGTAAGAGTGTCTACCTGCAGGTAGTATTGAAAGTGAGGATACATTCCTTTTTGGTACTGTCACAAAAAATAAAAGATCTGGAGGTCAAGTTAAGTTACTACAACCGCTAAATTTTTGTGAAGTGTATTTGCACATATATAACTTAAAATACTTCACAAACAGTTCCATTACTCAGCTGAAAGTACTAGAACCCTGCTGCCTTTTGTAACAGCACAGCCACCTGTAATCCTCTATTTTAAACATACTTTCTCCTCTGCACTGAATCACACAGTAACAACCAAAAGGAACCCATCAGTCTGATTAGATTGGCCAAAATGAACTACAGTATTCCCAGAGTTAACTTCCTGCTAACCAGCAGGTACTTTAAAATCAGCAAACAAAAGATTTCCCCTAGAGTTTTGTGCTCCATTTTAGCCTGAGTAGACTTTTTCCTGGCAGTGAAGTTAAATGAAAAATGAGATCTGAAACAAAATTGGACAACTGAAGAATACAAGCTAGCAGTTTCTTTACATACTAGGAAAAAACAATTACTAAGCTCTGATAGCTTGCATATTAGAAGCAGTCTATAGCTCCAGAAACATAGAACTCTGCACAGGGTTATTTACTTTACAGAAAAGCATATCTGATTTTAAAAATTCATTTGGCTGTACTGGAAAGCAAAGCAAATTAGTCTACAATGAAGTCCATGAATCCCAGGCCACTTTCAGTATGAGAGAGATTGCCTAGATACATGTAAGCTAGCTACCTTTCAGCAGTAAGGAGACAATGAATATTTATTACCTGCTGGAAGATGCCAGAACAAGACACACAGCCAAAGAATAAAATTAGAAGTATTCAAGCTATGCATCCCAGGGACTTCGAGTAATTAAGAAAGGAAACAGAGCGCTTCAAGATACCCTTTCTTAGAGCCCATCAACAAACTGCGTGAATCTTTTTATCATGCTAAGCAAAAGGTGTTTGGTAACAAAATACCATGTTTAATATGCAGAAGAAGAAATTTTACCTTGGTCTTCACTCCCTTCTTTACATAGGCTAGAACTCTGGCCAAGACTTAAACTGATATCATCAGAGGTCTTTGCAGTGTCAGTATCTCCTGCGAATTTTAAGAAAGAAGAATACTAGTGCTCAAAGTGTTAACACATACATCTACACACACTGCAGTTTTCTCACCTGTCATGAAAGACTGCTGCTTTTATTTCTTCATTTGAAGGTAAATAATTACAAGTAACAAGATCCTTCTTATTTTTTAGAGATAAGTATTGCCTAGTCTGTTTCTTTTATGTCGTATACAAGAAAGTTTTCACTCAACTACACAGATCTTCCATGAAGAACAGGAAAAGTATCTTACACAGAACCCAATTGAAATAAAGATATTTTTTCTTAAAGATACATCTATTTGAATATTCCTTTATGCATGGTTGCCAATAAAAATGAGGGTTAGATTGTAATAAAATACTTGTAAAGATAAAAGAGGTAAGGAAAAAAAAATCAGGAAGGTGACAAAAATTTACATCTCATGTTCTTTTGTCTTATTATTGGCTTCATAAATTTACAATATAGCAACTTTGCATATTACAAATAACTTATCTTTTTGTCTCAGACGTGTTCACAAGGACTGTCTTGGACAATACTTTTGCTAGATGCCAAGCAACTAGAAATAATCAAGTCATTGAAATACAATACCAGAAGGGTGATTGGTTGCACAGAACTCAAAATAGTAGGGAAAAGTCCACTCAAACCAAGCCTTTAGCTCTGCATTTACAAGCAAAAGAAACAAACTGTTGTTACAGGGAAAACAGAGCATGGTTTCCAGGATATTCTCTCCTACTGTTTTAGGTACATAATCTGCAACTCCAAAGAAGATCTCTTCCAATTAGTAAATGCCATACTTATCTCACAAAAAAGTTTTGAAGAGGAACAAGGTAAACAGTATTTGGAAACAAGATAATAAACAATAATGATTTGAAGTGCTACTGCAAAGTAATTTTAAGAAGCAGCCAAACATCTCACCTTTGATGGTTGCTGCTGTTCCCAGACGAGATAACCCAGATCCAACCTAGAAACAGGGAATTACGTAAAAAGCCGTAAACTTTCAGGAATTGCCTAACTGTTGTTTCCTATTACTGCAATGCACGCAGTTGCCTATACACCTAGGAGAGATTTTTCAAAGGCACAAAAAGCATCCAACAGCACAGTGCTGTCAAATCCTTTCTGACTCAGAATGTTTCCACTGCAAACAGAGATGACAAGGCATCTAATTATGCATCCAACTATATGACTGCATTATTCTGTTTTATAGCCAATGTACTCAGAGATTTTACTATGCTGATTTTAAAAACAGTTTCTAAACTAGGAATTTTCCTTTAAAATACTTCATGTGGAAACAAACAACTAGTGTGGTGGTACACTAATAATCACTGTTGTAAAGCTGTATGTTTAATGCAGTAATCATGGTTGCCTAAAATGCTTAAAGAAAACACCATGTTAATATAAAACTTATCTGTTCAACACAGTAAACACCAAGCTAAATCCAGAAACTGCTCCCATTGGAAATGATACATATTTTTACCAGGGTTAGTTTTCAGGTCTGTCAGAGTTATCCAATGACAAGGTAACCACAAGAACCTAAGTGTTGTTACTTGGAAAGTGGCAGCAGCATTAACAGGGGATATGGCAGGATGATCCCTGCTGGCAGCTGAATAAACTTAAATCAACTTAACCTAATCATTTTACTCTATCTTACCCCTCCCTCTCATTCCTGCAAATGACAGTTTCGAAGTACACACAGTTAGGTCAAAGCAAGTAAACTGGTTAGCAGAAGACTGGAGTATTCCTTATCTATTCTTGGGTATTAGTTACAATCACATCTCAAATTTATAGTATTGGCTTTCCAACTATGTTCAATGGCCAACCAGCAGGCACGTACCTCCCCATATGAAAACTAGCTAGCTGTTTAGGTTTGCAGTCTGCCTTTCTACTTATGTCCTATAATCTGTAGCAGATTATTTTGCAGAGGTACTAAAAAGAATTTAGTCTTTCCTTCAGTAATATTTCCAATATCACCTCTCTCAAAGAATTCCAAATAGTACACAAAAATGCATGTGTGAAATAATTAAACCACCTAGAAATAAGATAGGAGAAGAGCACTCAAAGGCAAAATCTGAACCTAAGATACATAAAAAAATGGCAATTTGCTTTTACTGTATACTTCTTGGGATGCTGCTTTTCAAAAATCCCTACTTCAAATGACTTTGGGGAAAAGAGCACATAATTCTACTAATTATTCTCTGTAAGTGCAGCAAATTTAAGGTAATCTGAAGATATGTGCAGATTTTATTTAGCCATACTACAGAAGAACTGCTTTGCTACAAGTAATGCAAAAAAACCACTAGTCAGAGCTTGTTTAATGCATTTTCTTTACTACACTGTCACGCGTGCTTTTAGTTAGTTATTTTGCCATGTTTCAACTTTTTTTCCCTTCAGTAACATGCCTTGCTGAATGCTGTAGCTGAATGCAAATGCATCAGCATGGGAAAGCTATTTCATGCAAAAAACTGAACAGAACTCAGATGCTTACTGTTCACATACCCTTTTGATGCTGCAAATTCAATCACAGGGGACTAGTGAGCACTGATTTTATCAGCATAAACACATTTTAAACACTATACTTCCTTCCACAGTATCTTTGACTGTGTTACAGTGTCAGCATTAAAGCACACAGGAAAGAACACAGAGCTTCTTCACATGCTTCAACAGTAAAACTGTTACCAGTACGTTTGGAACAGTTTTTTTTCCAAAGACCAGCCAAAGAAACATGATCCCCAGCCTAGTTTGGTCTTCCTCCAAGCACCATGGCTTTCTATTCCTTTGAACACTATCAAATACCTGCTCTCTTCAAAGGAGAAAATCTCTTAAGAATATCTATGCTGCAGAATGGACCATTATTCAGATAAAACACCAACATTAGCATAACATTGCACTACATTCTGAGTAAGTAGGATATAGAGCTAACTAGAAGGACTTGATATTTTAATACCACACGAAGGATTTCCATGTCCTTCAATAATAGCTTCTGTATCTTTAATATGATGCTGCATTGCTCATTGTCAACATAACCGTACACTCTGGCCAGTCAATCTACTTGTCCTCATGAAGAGATGGTAAAAGAAAGATGCCACCACTGGCTAAACATCACAAGTCAAACAGAAGGAACAGCACCTGCAGCTCTATGGAAGTTGAACACATAAATCCAGCAGACATAATAAGGAAACAGAACAACTTCCCCAGCGAAATTACCAGGCAACTAGAGCATAACAAAGTGGCATTAAAATCTAATAAAGTCAAGTTCGTCAGCACTTCTATCTGATGTGCAGAAGCCCCTATTTATTGCTTTCTTCCCACTCCTGTTGAAGTGGCAAAATAGTGAGGATTTCGCAGAGGTCGTCCAAAAATAAACACTTTTAGTCTTTCCATTTAATTCAGTTTATCTTGCTTTGTACTTTAGCAAATTAACATTTTTGACTGCAGAGTCTGAACTGTCAGGGATAACAGTAACTGTCAGAAAGCCATTCAGCATTGCAAGAGATAATTAGCAGCAGATACGTTCTAAGAAGACTTAACAGAAGCCTCCTCAAGTTCAGTACAACTGAAGTTTGCCAATTAGGCATCTAAACGACAGATCAAACAAGAGTAAGGGAGGAAAACAAAGTTAGACCATAAGGATGAAGTTACAGCTTGAGCTACCTAATGGCTCACTGGTAGCAAAAGGAAGAGGAAGGCCCACCACCACAGGTCTTGGTACTTATCTAACTATGCTCTGAGCCATTTTGGTTTACTAAATCAGAAGAAAGCTAACTAAGCAAAAGGGAATACTTTCTGATGGGACAGTAGGTTGCCTTATAAAATCTAGCCATTCTTTAAATGAACACAAGATGGGATGAGCAATAGCTGGGAGAGTGCAATGTCACCCTAATAAAGCAGTTAAGAAATACAGAAAGCTAAGTTATTTGTCCTAACACAATTTTTTTTTTAAAGTAAAATAATAATACAAAAAAAACAAACAAACAAAAAATCAGCAAAGATTACTCTACAGATTGCAAAGCCAGCAGTACTAAAGCAACAACTGCAGTAGCTTTAATTCTTACCTGGCTGTTTGGATCTACCCCAGCATAAGAATTGCGTGAACTACAGCCAACAGGGGGAGTTGCTTCTCGTATGAACTCTGACATCTCAATCCCTCCACCAGGGTCACTGGGAGAAACAATAAAAAACAGAGTATTAACCTACCAATTAAACACAAGTTTGGCTGTCTACGTTGAGTGCAGATTCAAAACAATTCTTCCCTTTTCAAATATCAAGGCAGCAAATACATCCCAGTATCTCAGATGAATACTGCCTATTTCACACAGGAAGCTCAGGCAGAGCTGCAGCACCCTATACACTGTCACAGAAGCTGCTGCTCAAAGTCCACTATCATCAGTCCGCACAAACCATGGAGACTTAGGAGCTACAAGGCATTTTGAAATGCTGACATATGAAATTCTCTCTATATATACACACATGTAACTTCCAGATCATCTGTCCAACTATAATACCTAGAATTCAATCAATAGGAAAAGTACTAAATAGAACTCATAAGGGAAAGGACTCCAGATCTTTTCCTTAGACTGAATCTAGGAGCAAAAGTCTGAATGGGTTAACCAAGAAAGCCATACACTGCCAATAAAAGTTATTGGAAAGGCAGAGATATACAGGGACACGATATCTCTCCCAGGGATGCAAACCACTACTTTCTACCAGAAAATAACTTCCTTTCAGATAATTCACAAGCCCTACCAAGAAATATTTTGAGGTACAATATATTATAATAATATATTATTACATCCTAGTTATTTCAACTTTTCAGGGTTAGTAAGTATTGGTTTGAAAGTATTTTCTAGATCAACATCACCAAACCGTAATTCAACATAATTCAGCTTGTCAAAGGCAGGTATTTATGAAACAAAAGCAAGCTGGATCTGTCCATTAGGACAACGGGGTGTGAAATGAGTTCTGGACTACAACTCTGTTAAGTGCAAAGTAGAAGAAGTTGAGGCATCTTTTTTCCTCACCTACTACAGTTCTCCTCAACCATCTTAATCCAGGAGACTTCTGAACAGAAGTAACCACAGTGTAAGTTGACACTGACCCTTTCTGCTCCTTCCCAAAGACAAATAACCACCTCCCAACAACCAGTAACTTAGAGCTGTGGCAAGTCCACTCCAACATTTTGCTGGAGAAAGAACACGTGCACAACTGTTCTCCAGCTGGGCTAAAGAAACCAAAGGTGAAGCCCCTCTTGAGAAGGGGACAGAAATGGACAGAAGCACTGCAGGACTGACTTGTGAGACAGCTAGTCTCACAAAGAAGCCTCATGCAATAATACCAACACCTAATAATTTTTGTAATACATGGACATTGATCTAGGATATTATAAACAGTCTGTCTGTAGAGTAAGGGAACTGAAACATCATTCAGTCTGCAGCATGACATTTCAAGCTGTTGTCATCTCAGAAAGGCATAAAGGTACAACCTTGGGAACCATTCTAAACCATACAAGAGGCCCCTGAACATTCCTACCTCAAAAAGATGACAAAAAAGACAGTTTGAAATTAGGAATATATTACTTCAGTAAAAATAAGTTAACTTGAGAGACAACCAGCCATGAGCTAGCAGAACAATTATGGTTCCACTCCAGCAAACTGAAGACAGACGTGAAAAGCCACCATTCTGGCACAGCTCAGCAGCAAGACATAAGCATGCTCTTGTTGATGGCTGCTTACAGAGCCCTCTCTGACCCGGTATTATTAATTATGCTAAGGCAGAACCAGGTATGGATAAAAAAAAAAAAAATATATATATTCAGAATTCAGCTTCAATAATTTTCACCAGCTTTAGGCAAACAAAGTATTCCTTATATAAGCATTTTAAGAACACATAAGGACATAATAAGAAGTTGAAGACTAAACTGAAAAATTCTCACTTAATGTTTAAGTTCAGCATACATTATGATGACTACTGAAGATATAACAAAGAACACCTTTCACAAAAAGATGAAGTTCCTTTCCTGTTGGAATAATTCATTGAGAAACACTGCATATGATTGAAGTACGTCCTACAAAGTAGAAAAATAAGCCAATGTGAGTAAGCTCTCATGCATAGAACTGGGTAGTTTGCCAGGGTGGGAGAAGGAGGTGACTTTGTCTAAAAGTGAACCAACAGATACCAGCATAAGCAACAACACAACCCAACACCAGCACGCTACTCACAGCTGCTATATTCTGTGACAGCACACACAAACTAATGGACTAACAAAAGCTAGTTAACAGACAGACAACAACGTCTGCAGAAACAAGCAGGAAGTACCGATTTCTCGAATTAATCATCGTATGCATAAGGATCTGGACTACAACAGCATGCAGAATCTTTTAGGAGCTATTTTCTGCTAGTGTTGTGGCCAATCCTTTCTATTAAGTTCTACAATCAGTTTCTTACAGTTTGCTGACCTCGTACCTTAGAGGAAGTGCTATGCTTTTCAGTTGCAAGCAAAAAAACTGAAGTTACTACACAAATTGAGAAGTCTGAATAAATTACATCCAGCTACCTGCAACAGAGATTACTGTGGAAGAGGCATTCAGAGACTGGGCAAAACAAATTAAAACTTGTCTTTCTAATTATTAGTAACTGTCCTATCTAAAACGACTATCTGCAGCTGTATTACATCAGTGTGTTAGAGACTAACTGAAAGTCTGAAGAAGTTGTAAGTCTACATGAAATCAGAAGTTTAAAATCTGACTTCAGCTGATTGACTGAAGAAATCTGATATTCAGACTAGAACTTCCAGACAGAATTTGGAATGAGCAATTTTCATTTCAGGACAAAGCAGAGGAAGAGACTTTTATTCTTTTGTTTTGTACACCACCTTCTGTCCTTAATTTTCCAACTAAAATAGCAGGATAACCACTCAGGAGGCTGTTCTCAAAACACAAAAGAACCACAGCACATACTGCAAATACTAGACCATGACAGTTTCAAGAGAAATTTTCTTTAAAGCTTGAATCACTAATTACAGAGTCAAAAAGGCAAAACAACTCCAAGCTTAAGAACAGGTCTGCCAGCCACAGCAAGCTGCAAGGAGAAGAAATAGCAAAAGCAGGGCAAAAGTTGTAGATATTACCTTTTTTTATTTCTCTTGCTTGTATTTGTTTAAGTGTACTGTACTTAACTCAGAGATGCAACATTCTCCAGCTGTCAGTTTTATTTTGTAGAAGTATATGTGAAATTCATGTAGCATCATGATTACAGCTCCCCCATTCTGATGGAGATCGGGGACAGCAGTGTCACCAGGTTAATGTTTTATGATACTGTGAACCATAGTAGTCACTGACACAAGAAAGAAGCCATATTCATACTCCCAAAAACAAGACCAACTTAAGTGTTTTAAGGTATCTATCCACTGATACCCAACAAAGACTACGCTTGCACTGTTCCTTCTGCCTTTTATGTGAGATTAGGAGCCTGTACTCTCATTACTTGTTTTCATGAAACCTCACAGAATCATTACTAACATGACTTCCTTAAGTACAAAAGCAGCAAGTGCACTAGAAGCTGCAGAAGACAATTCACAGTCCTTTCTCTAAATTAAGACTATCTTCTTTCAAAAACATTAACTGGAGAATTTCAGCTTTATAAAGAAGATGAGGAAAAGATAAACACAGCATTTCCCAGGGAACAGTAAGTTGTTCTTCATTTAAGCATGGCAGTTTTATGAAAAGATTAAAAACCCTCGGAGTTTGATCCTATTAAAAAAACAGTGTGAACCAAAGATAAATGGGCAGTTCATGTAAACCTACAAAGGACAGCACATAGTTTCTGTCAGATACCTGAAAGCACCACTTTGCAGATAAACATCTTCAGAAGCAGTTCTTAGAAGCTAAACAGAATCCTGAACATAACTTTTGAACAGAAACCAGACTATAGCTTAAATCTTAAAAAAATATTAATACTCATATCTAAAGTGGTCTCAGGGAGGGTGGGTGTATGTGGCGGGGTAAAAACTCTAGGAGAGCTTTGCACACTATACTCTCTCTATATATATTATTTGGTATCAAATGCTGTAGCCTAAACTATCAAAACTAATATTCTGATTATGCAAATATTTACAGTAGTCTGTCTGCTTAGATCTCCCCTATAACCACCTTACACCATAGGAGCAGAGTTTCAAAAAACAACAAACCCTACATACACACTTTCTTCTGAGACAGTTTTTTTAATTAACGTTCTGATTTAACTTACTGAGAAGGTAACAACTCAATATTAAAGACTCACTCTACATTCCCTCTACTGGTTTGAATGTTATCCCAGAGTTCTTGTAAGCTTCCAGGCAAAGATTAGTATATACTGTACATCCCACTTACCAAAAAGTAACTCCGTAATTTCTGCATTGACCTTGTTCCCAGTTCTAGTTAAGAGACCTGAAAGTGGGAACAAGGATCATATAAAAGTTAATGAAACTTTAGTCGGCAAGCAGGACACACAGCATCAAACTAACCTCTACTTCTGAGCTCACAAATGCTTATAATGTAGTAACTTGTCCCATGTCAACTGCTCCTTAGACAAAACAGAACTTCTGAAACATCCAGAAGTAATTCACAATACTAGTAGAAAGAAGTCCCTTGCCAAGTGTTGGCTACTGTTTTGGAAGCAAAAGCTACAAGGTTTAAAAAAAAAAAACCACACACACAAAAAAACCACCCAGCATGTAACAATCACAGCTAAAACATGCATTAGCAATGTTGCATTGAAACAGAACAGACCACTAGTTTACTTTCATGAATTTTATTAAGCAGAACAAGCATTAATATACATTTAGGCAAGCATTCTACCAAAATAGCTCAATATAGTTTTACTAAGGTATATGGTCATCTAAATGAAGTCACAATTAAAATCAGCAGATTCAGTTACCAAACACAACATGGAAAAAAGATCAGGTTATAAAAGATGGATACAAGAAGTTACTGTATATCAACTTCAAAGGAATTTAAGACACTGGTTTTGCTAACAATACTTAAGCTGAGAGCAGATATAGAAGAACTTAAGACCCATCTCATGAGAAGTTACCCCATAAGCACAGTGAAGTCCTCTTACTTCTAGGCTGAGTATTTTAAAGAGCATCACTTTAACACTTCCTTTCTTTAAGCATTCTGATAAACAGACTTAAGAGGCTTCTTTCAACTACATTTCCTTATAGCATGTGTCTCCATGTAAAAGTTTCAGGTGTTTTGGTTTGGGGTTTTTTTTTTGTTTGGTTGGTTTTTGTTTTGAAAAAAAAAAACAAAACCCCAACCCACTCACCACATGCACAACATTTTAAGAGTCAGGACAGCATACTAACTGCCTCACTTTGGTACTAGTAGCCATGAAGAGTTTTCAGAAAGTCACAAAAGAGAAAGGTCTTCTTTAAAAGCTAACAATTCAAGGTTGATTTAATTCATGCAGTCTAACTTGAGATGGCCCCAATTATCTGGAGCCAGGCAGAGGCTTTGATAATAGAGCTTGTAACACATCCACAGTCTGACCAGACTGGTTAGGATGGCCTTGTTGATGAGTCAACTTTTGCTCTTCTTTCTCCAAATAGTCTGGACAGAGGAGGAAAACCTCTGAGTTTCCTTATGCTGGGGACAGCAAAGATCATCTGCGGAAAGGAATCACCTCCTATCAACAATACTTCAGAATCATCATCTTCATTACTCAGCCAAGCAATTCCAGAATTTCCAAATACACAGGACAGTGTTCTCCTGAAGTAAGACTATGACCGGAGTAGAGTATTGTATCTGACTCCTGCTTCTGCAAAACTAAGCAAATTGAAACCCAATCAAACATTCCTTTCAGTGATAAAAGGGCTTAGCATGTAGTATGTCGTCTTTGACAGCGAGATTTTTAAGACTCAGTCTACTGTTGAAACAAGATTACTTGTACTGGTTGTGTGCATTAAGTACTTAGTGACCTAATCACCACATATTTTCCATGCTATTGTTTCAGTGTTTCCCGCATTTTCAATATTGTTCTGGAACTCCTTTGGGGAAGGAACCAGGAAGTCCACATGAATCCATCATTTCAAACCTAATACATAAATAAGTCTGCTTTTAAAGATCAGACTTAAACAGTCTTTCAGAACTAGGGAAGTATGCATCTATATTCCTCCATGTTTATTTCAACCACCATTCCAGTTACACATGTGATGAAGACAGGACAGTTTACCATTTGAAGCCATATACAAACATCAGCGTACATCTTACCTGGGCCCATTGCTGTCTTTCCTCTTCGCTGAAACATTGCTTTGTTCTGTTTTTGCACCTCTGTCCATATGCTCACTGGCATTTCTCTCCACAATTTCTCCCTCATCCAGTGCCCTGTGCAAACGGTAATTCACCATCTTCAAAACGATAAAGAGAGCTGCTATCACTGGGCAGTAGACAGCTACTATCATCATGGAAGAAGGAAGGGCCTTTCAAAAGAGAGTAAGAAAGAATTAATGAACACAAGGTCAAATGTCCATAAGAATACATAAAGCTATCTAGAGTTTAACAGTTTATTTCATACAGAAAATATTGATCATCTTGAAAATGAAGGTTTAAACACACCACCCCCCCCCAGTCATAGAAAAAGAGGAAAAGTTGGATACAAGATATTAAAGCAGCACAGCAGCATGCTAAGTAGACTTATCACTGGAGCTTGAGAACCAAATTACTGTTCTCTTTTTCCAGGCTATTGGAATGCAAGACCTAGCCTAGGAAACCTAGAGCTAGCATCATTTCTTTGTGTCACACCCAATATTTTTGATTAGTTGTTATGAATTTAAAAAGATGGAAAGATTTTAAGCAACTTTAAAACTAAACCAAGCACAGGGTATGACCTTATTTCAGGGCTAGTACACAGCAACAAGTCCATTTTGGAAAAACAGATGAGAGTTTGACAGCATGGTGGATGGGAGACACCCTGCTCAACTGCCCAACACAGATGTTCTGACTTAGCTTGTCAGCTTCTAGAAGCCACTTTTGCATAAGATACTGATCAGTCAAAAAAGCCAAGCTTTTCCCTATCTGCATACAAAAAAAAAAAAAAGGCTGTTGACATTTGTGTCTCACACAGCTGAGCAGTAGTCCACTATAACCTGCAAAACCATATGCTGCAAAGATTATTTGTGCTAGACCATGGAAAGGCAGACAACATAGATGTTCTGAAGAGAATTTTTCAGCTGTGTCAAAGGTTGCCAGAAGCCACATGAAAAACTTCACTCCTGAATTCAACTTTTGAAATTCCACTCAGTTAAGACTTCTCATGCAACTTTTGCTGAGGCCCATAAGGCTTTTACAGATCAATCACTTCAACAACAGATATTGATTAAGTGTGGCCTAACAGCTATTTAAAAGAAGCGTTTGGAGTACTAGTTAAACTTCAGATTTCACTTCAAGGCTTTCACCCTTCTAATTCACTTTTTATTCATGCTTATAAATTTTGCCATTTCCCTAGACAGTCATTAAACAAAATGAGATATTAACTCTTAGTCTCCATCCACAAGTAGAACACTTTCCTTACAAAAGCAACAAGAGTCTGTGTTCCCAAATATTTTGCTGCATCGCTATCCTTTACCCCGTTGATGTGCAGTTTGATATCAAATTCTTACAGTCATAAATATATATATATACACACACAGAGACACACGACAATCAGAATTAAACAGCATTTGTTACCAGCACAAACATTGGTCCACTTATCCTTCTCATGTACTAAATTGTCTTTTTAGATCCCCAAGCCTAAGGAGAATTCCAGCTTGTTTCATACACCTAGCCTCCCTCCCTGTGCAGACCATTGTGAGAAGAGTCTTTATGGTGATCAAAGCCCCATGCACATCTTGAAGAATCAGAAAGGAAACACAACTGGATAATAAGACAGACAGCCCTCTCTATTCAGCACATAAAGCTAGTTTTAGTCATTTAAAAGAGATCCAATCAGAACATTAGTATTTCTACACATTCTAGAGCTTATTAGTCCTAGAAGAACTGGCAGTGCTCGTCACACAATTTAAGCCATGAGTTTAGTACAAACACTGTTTGAAGAGATCTCCAAATACAAAATATTGTACTAATAAATGGGATAAAAAAAATAAACATTTCTAAACATTGTATTAACTGTTGACTTCAGAACGAAACCAATCCTTGATCTGGCTGCTCACTTCTGGCATTAAGCAAAGCCAAATAATCAATATAACATTTCTAAAGCCAAACAAGTATAAATAATTGAGTCTGGAATCAATCAGGAGGCAGTTTACTTATTAGGATTCTTTCCTTAAAGAGATCAAGTTTAACCTACCTTTTCCTCCAAAACAAGTTATGTCAACACCTAATATAACATTTGAGGTAGGACAGGCAAGCTAAGCTGAGGTATGCCAACTTAGATTTTTCGTGCTGAGCTGGATAAGACCCTAATGGACAGGGAGATTCACTTACCAAGCACCACCTCAGGAGGAGAAAGGGGAAACAAAGCTATTTAAAAACAGCGTCAGTGAGCAACCAAGAGCCACAATGATGCTAATGGCATCCATATAAGCCCTGAAGCAATGCTACAAAGGTTTCCTCAAGAAATGCGGTGCTTCTGCTTCCAAGAACTTCAGGGGTAGCTAGCTCCCTGCAGGCAAGGGCAAGCCTGTTAACTTTGGACAAAGGTAGGAGCTTCCTGTACCTGCTAAGCAGTCTGCTACCCAATCACAAACACAACTTCAACTATCCTCTCCTTTACAAGTACCTAGTGTTCAGAAGCCATTACCAGAAGAGTTGGTTTAACACTGGATGATAAAAGCTACAGTTAGTTATAAAAGGCACACCTATACTTTTCTGTCTGGAGAGCTCTTCAACTTCTCCCCTCTGCTCCGTCAGCCATGAGGTCACACAGTGTATCCAGTTTATCTTGTGGAATGCAAAATCTACACATCCTGTTCTGCAAAAGAAAGCTCTGAGAACAAGTGGGGGAAAAGGCAAAACACCCTATGCAACTTGCAGCAAACCCAATAAAGAATTAAAGGGTGCTTTTTCCTTACATCCTGTTTCCACAAGATTGTAGAAAGCTAAAAATAAGGTAAGTTAACTCACTACTTTTCATTCTTTGTATTCATTAGTAGATACTCCGCTCTGGATAGGGCATATACTCTGGGAATAGAGGAAATTTCAGCATGTCTGACATACTCTGCAGTCTGATCATACTTTGTATTAAGCCTCACGCTGTGGTATAGCAGTGCTACCCATGGTACCAGCAACTCATCTGCATTCCAGCCCCAAAAGTGAGAGTTACTGCAATCTAACCTAAACCACTGGTGCCTTCTCTATTTTTCTTTGCCAAACTTAGAAGCATTCAACTTCCACTTGGGGTCTTCTCTCCACAAGCAAGATAAAGCGAGACTGGCATTTTAAATTATGCTTGACATTTTACCACATTTTAGGAGACACATCTCTTGTCAGCATAACCAAGCATCCTATACAATACCATCTTCAAGACTGGAATACAAATCTAACTCCTACAAATTTGCAGCTAGACCTCATTTCAATTCTTTTCACAAGTACTAAAGCATTTTTATCAGGCACAACAGACCAAAAACCTCAGGTTAGAGCTTGTTAGCAGACACCAGCTGGCTACAAGTCCATAGCTGCAGCAGCATTTCAGAGAACATCCCATTTACTGTACATCTCTAGTCACTTCCATTAGCACCAAAAAACCCCATACACTGAACAGGCGTAGTTACAATTGAAGCTCTTGTAGGAGAGAAGAAAGAGCTAGACATGACCATACAAAAACTCTCTGCTTTAATTACATTCTGTTGAAAACTTCAGTCATCTAACAGCTGAACAAACCCAATCATTAGATAAACTCATAGCTGGAAGTGTTTCCCTAAATCTTAAAGCAGTACTTTCAAAAGAGGTAGGGGGGAGGGGAAAGACACTGATTTTTTTACCGCCTTTCCCCTCAGGAGTTACTTTCCAAATTTAAACCTTTCAAGACACTTATGAAATCCATACTATATACGTGGACAAAGGTAAGATGCAGGAATATACAGTTGAGGAGTGGGACTGTCCCTTCCGAAAGCTGCTGGCTCTTAAGTCAGCTCAGCTGTATCACAGCACACCTTTGTGAAAGAGTGGGTAGAAAAAGCTTTAAGCACTCCGAGATTCCAGTGAGCATAGAATAGAAAAGAAACCTCAGACCACTAGTTACAGGACTAAAATATTCCCCTTTGAACTACAAAAGGTCACTGTATCTTGATTCAAGATTTCAAATACATAAATGCCAGGAACCAGAGGGAATTTCATTGATCAGAAGCTCTGCTACATACTTAAGAAGAAACAAAGACTATATGGATCTTACCTAACCACATCTAGCTTTAGCTAGACACTATGGATGCAACAAAGTTTCCAGATCCTTTTCAAAAAGGGATGTGTAGGTGTTACCTGTTGAGAACACTTATAGGACAGTCTCCCAACTCAAATCAGATTGCAAGTCCTTACGTAAAAGTAACATTAAACAAACATTCGTTAACCAGTAACAGTTGTCTTGTAAAATGCTTTCAAGTTCAAGCATTTTGAGGTCACTATTTTACAGAAATATTCATACTGGGGAAGAAGTTTAAGAAAAAATTTTGACATCCTTTCTTGTTTATGAACAGCCAGAGCCCTTAAGAACTGTTGTTATCAAGAAGTATGTTCAGTTACAAGTTATCTAGTTTTTGACCAAAACCTCAAGGTGTACAAATGAAACTTGAGTAGCCAAGAAACTAGATGTGGCTTAGAGCAATGTGGGACACCAGGGATTCTCATCATACATCCAACTTCAAACTTCTGAAATAGGTGCTGTTCTTAAACTAGGAGTTTCACTGGAGAAAGACCTTCCCACAAAGCTACATTTCTATGACCTACTTCTGTAACTATGTACACAAGTCAGGAAATCAAGTGTCTATTAAGTGAACTGTTGTCTAAATGAGCTTGACTTGGACAGACGAGTTCTGTAGGTACATACGAGCCCATCACCCCAAGCAAGGTACAGTCCTGGCTTCTCTTCAGTCACTGGCAAATTTCCCCAAGTGCCGGAGCCAAGACTTCACCCCCTCCTGTGCAGGTGGTGGGGCTGAAACAGCATTCCGACTAGGGGAAGTGCTTTGGCAGCCTCCTCTCTTCCCCTCCCCCTTACAACACTGATGCATAACGCTGGCCTCTGCATTTAGGGTGTATTTTCCAACTCTACCACTATATTTTACAACGTAATTGTACAGTTTCCCCATATTGTAGCATATTTTCTTCTCCCAACTTGAGTTTTGGATTAGAGTAAAAACAGATCAGCTCTTATGACAGATATGCAGATCAACAAGAACAGTCGAGTCTGTTACTGAATACAAATATCCAAACAAGATAGATTTAACTAGTCTAGAAAGCAGTATTTTTGTATGCA